TCAGTGAGGTCAGAGCGAACCAGAGAGAACACAGACTCGTGGTGGCTGGGGGGTTCAGATGCCCGCCTGCCTCCCCCCACCCCCTCCCCAGCATGCCGGCCTCCTAGCCAGGGAGCCTGTGTGCCTGCTTTCCTGAGAGCACATTAAAGGCCTGTAAATTTATGGACGGCTCCAAGACTCCTTACCCATCACCTCAAGTCGACAGTGAAGCTGCCCAGTGTCTGCTGGGACAAGCCCCTTCTCAAAGAGCATGTGTACTCTTCTCCCTGAGAACCACACCCTTTCCATTTGGGCTGCCAGGATGCTCTGATTTTCTGCACTTGTCTCTAACGAGACACAGAGGGTTCATTATGTAAATTCAGGGGGAAAAACACAAATCATGAATTACATCTGTATTAACAAACATTTTAATTAACACTTACCAACTGCCAACAATGTGTTAGGTGTAAATAACAGGTGGATGCGGGTTGAAGCAATGAGACTAGAAAGTCACTGTTTCCTTTCTACTCTTTTCAAGAATTTCAAGGAACAGTTTATAAGGTATCTTTTTAAAAGTGGGCTTATAATTCTGAACCCTGAAACTTTCAACAGTACACAATGTGTATGTTTCCATTTAAATGTAAATCTCTATTAACCTGTATGGTGCCTCATCTCAGTTGCGTTCATTCAACTGGTGCTTAAAAGGTTTGGCAGGCATCTGTTCCTTCACGCCTACTGTTTAGGCAACATCAGTGAGTGATTAAGGCAAAGTTCCTGACCTTAAGTTTACATCTTGGTGCACAAAGACAATAAGGGAATAACAAGTACCCAAATATTTAATGGTAATGTGATAGAGAAATAAAGAAGGGTAAGGAAAACAGGGAGTATGTGTGTGTCGTCAGGGAAGGCTTCACTGATTCAGAGACATTTGAGTGCTAGGATTTACTGATGGGTTAAAAGGAGGGTGTAAAGAAAGGTCATGTTTTTCACTTGAGCAACTGAAAAAATAGAATTGCTACCTACTGATATGGGGGAAGGAAGTGGGGGGATTGGAGAGCTCAGTACAGTGCATTTTGGAATTTGCTGTTGAGCAGGCAGTTCAATAATCCAATGTGGAGTTAAGAGGAAGGCTGGGCTTGGAGACAAATTTGGAATTCTTTAGCCTGTAGGTTATTTTTTAAAAGATTTATTTATGCATACAAGAACTGGAGTATAGGCCAGAGGTGCAGGGGTGGTGAGAGGATTCACCAGAGACAGTGGGGAGCAGAACAGGTAGATTGATGAAATACACTGCTGAGAGAAGCAGCGGGCAAGACAGGAGAGGCCTGCCGCACCTGTGGGTCACCTCCCTGGCTGGGGATTGAATTTGTGCTGAAGTGGCTGTGGTGAGCTTTGTAGTGCTGTGCCTTAACTGGTTGCACCACCAGGCAGGGCCCTAGCCTGTAGATTTTTTAAAAACCAGGGACCTAGGTGTGACCAGTGACGTCAAGGAGGCGTATGGGTTGAGAGGAGATTCAAGGGCTGAACTCTGGGCTTGCTTCCACTGTGAAAGGGGGCTACGGGAAAAATGGAGAGAGCTGTTGATGAGGGAAATGGAGAGAGCTGTTGATGAGGGAAGAGGAAAAGGAAGATAGAGGCCGCCTGGACACCAAGCGAAGAAAGTGTTTCAAGGAAGAAGGAATAAACAACGGTGTAAAACAATGCAAAAGATGTTGATTGAAATGAGGCCTGAGACTTGACTGCAGGTTTTGATGTTGTGAGGGTCACTGGGGCCTTCAACAAGACCAGATTCTATGGAAAGGAATGGGAAGAAGCAAAACTTTGACAGATCCTTAGGGGAAATACTGTTAGTCCTTCTGGGTTTGTGAACCAGTTTTTTTTTTTTCTCATATTCCAGAGGCTGGATCAGGGTGGGTTCTGAGGAGGACCCTTTTCCAGATAGTAGAATGTTAGTTTCCCAACATGGTGGAAGGGGTGAGGGCAGGGGGGGCATGACCTAACTACCCCCGACCCAAATACTGTCACATTGGGGATATAAATTCTGGAGGCACACAAAATATTAAGTTTGATTCTGAATTTTTTCCTGAACTGCTGTTATCTGTCTTCACGGCAGCCCAGGTTCTAAGTACTTGTTCCTGTGCTGTTCTGCCCCTGCTGCTGGGAAGACACTTCAAGGCTCTCTCCTGTCTGGACTAGGCCTCTGCTTGGCCAGAAAGTATGGGAAAGAAGAACAGAGAGAGCAGTATGATGGGAGGTTCCAGGATCTTGTGGGTGACATTTGAATCCACTGGAACCCACAGCAAAGGGCCTGGAAGAGAATGTGACCATTCCCTAGTCTAGAGTTTCTGTGATGTGTGGAGTCCAAGGTTCTGAGGACAGCTTTTAAGAGATGAAACTTTATTTTTACATAGTGATATTCTGAAACAGATTTCAATTGACTGAAGATTCCATGGTTTGAAATAAAGCTTGAAATCCACAAAAATCTAGTCTGTTGTATATGATGTAAAAGATCATGCCTTTTACTTAAATGCCTCTCCCAGCCCCTCTCACACACCCCCGCCCCAAAGGAACCAAGTTACCTTGGAGAAGTGGCAGTTTCCAGGTTTGAGCCCAGGAAAGAACAAGGTTAACCTGAGCCAGCTGCTAACCAAAAGCAAGGAAGAAAGGGTGTCAAAAAAGCAGTGGACAAACCTGAAGGTACTTGAAAAGCAAGTTTAGAAAAGCTAAACCGCTAAAAATAATAATGGCCATATTATAAAACAATGAGTAAGAATCCATTACAGTGGTACTAAAAATTAAAGAAAATTACAGAAAGGGTAAAAATATCTTCACCACCACTGGAAATGATTCATGTCAATTTCTTATTCTGGATATTGGTAATTATAGAGAAATATGTTAACATTACCCTACCTTTTTAGGAACAACTATAATTCAACCTCAACTGGTGACAAGAAGACCTCTTTAGAGATGAAAATTATTTAATAAGTGAAGAAGGAATGCTATGTGAGGAAATTAGCTCCCTGTACCCCCATATGAAGTCCAAGAAGGCTTACCAGTGGGTGCCAAAATGCGTAAAAGGTTGTAGAACAGAACAGACTCATGCTGAAAGATCACCCCACAGACAACTGGAAAGAGAAGAAACTGTACTTTAGTGGAACAAGATAGGCAGACCATCTACACTGCCAGAGGGACATGCTGACAAGATGAACCTCCCGATAGCATCACCTATGATATCCTCTCATCAAAAATGTTTTAAGTGGAATCTACTTAGCACTACCTTCCAATTTATTTTTATTTTTTTAGATTTATTTGTGCATACAGAGCTGGGGTACAGGCAGAGGCTCAGGGGCGGCGAGAGGCTTCACCAGAGACAGAGTGGGGAGCAGAACAGGCAGATCGACGAAGTACACTGCTGAGAGGAGCAGCGGGTGGGTCAGGAGAGGTCTGCCACGCCATGTGGTCATCTCCGGGGCAGGCGGGAATCGAACTGATGCGGAAGTGGCTTTAGCCTCTCAGTGCTGTGCTTTAACCCGCTGCGCCACCAGAGAGGGCCAACCTTCCAATTTATATGAAGCACAAAGAATAGAACTAATAAAATGACACCACAAGAATATAGTCAGACAAATCCAGGATGCAAGACACTTAAACTACCTCCGTTATTTTAAAAGTGTACCATGAAACCAGTTATAAAAGCCAAGTTAAATATGGACTAGATGTTAAACTATTGTTCTAGGAATGAAAATACTACTGTAGTTATGTTCTTGATAGATACAAATTCTTAAATATTTAGGGGGGAAGCATTGTGATAGCTGCCATTTACTTTCACAGTTTTGCAAAAAACCTTGTTATTCAATATACATAGAGAGCAGAATGTTAACATTTTTTAATTGGGGAGACAATTTTTCATTGGATTAGCCTTCAACTTTTTGATATAAGTGCTTTTTAATAGAAACTTGGGGGTGGGGGTAAATACTGTGCAGCATCTGTGACTCATGCCTGGCATTTGGACCTTTATAAAGATCATCGAAAGCTCGCACAGTTGGTTAGGACAGGGGACCACTGACTCAGTGCCCACACAGCACGCAGAGCAGCTCTGGGCTGACTTGGTTTCTAAATGACAGAACAAAGGCTAGAATTCATGTTCCTTGGCTTTCAGTCCTATGCTTTTCCTTAATTCTAAAGAAATTTCCTAGGTAAGAAACCTTACTGTATTGAACATCTGAAGCTCTGTGCCAGGAAATGGGAAGGATTTGGCAGCTGGAGGGTTCTTGGTGGTTGCTGATAAGTTATGGGATCAAAAGTTATTAGGGGATTGTTAGAGCCACTAAGGACAAAAGCAACCGTAATTTAAAATAATAAGAATTGTACTGTGGAGGTTAATTTTCTTTCAAAAAATTGTATTACTTTCAGAGAAGATAATCCATGAGGTTGAATATTACTTCACACATCTGTAAGGTTAAATACCTAGATAAAAATCAGATTAGGGGGAAAACCCCAAAGTCCTACTATGTATGAGGCACTCTGCTGCCCTGGCACGTTCTGCTGCACCTGGTGGCTGAGGCAGCAGGCAGCCATCTGGGAACCCGCCACTGTGCACCACTCAACCAGGAGCCATGGAGGCCTCTTACAACTTTGAGTTGGCAAGTGAGATAACAAATGAAGATGTTGGGGTTGAAGGAGCCAACTAGCAGAGAAACGAACTGATGGCAAAGTGGCAGGTCCGGAAGTCTAGTGGAAAGGTATGAGTCTTTGGGGTGAACAAGATTAATTCCGTGCTGTCACTTACTAGTTTTGTGCTCTCTGGCACAAAACTGAGTTCCCAGCCCAGTCTTTTGACCCCTACTGCCAGGCCCTGTGCTGCTAAGTGCAGTTAACAAGCCCAGGGTCTCCACCTCCTAAAAGCCCAACAGCTAATTAAGGAATGGGGGCTAGTCAGATGGGGTTCTAAACTTTGAAAGATCTGGGAGTTAGAGCTTCACCAGCTGGATATGAAGTCGGTCTGAGGCAACATGTTGAGAAAAGATGGGGGTGGGGGGCCGGCGGTGCCACTAGGTCAGAGTGGCTGTTTCAGTGGCTCTCACATCGGTGGCTGCACTTAGTGAAGTAAGTATGGAACACCCCAAAAGTCAGGAACTGGGGCGCAAATGCTGAGTACCAACAAAATCCTTCTCGAGAAAGGAAAAGGGTCCTAAACTTTCACCAGCAGAAGACCAAAAACACTACACACCGGAAGAAGAAAAGGCAGAGCCAAGGTGGGGACCTACACCGGGGGGCGTGGCCTCCCTGGCACCACGGCCACCCTTTTCCGGAATAGGCCGGTGCCCCGGAAGCAGTTGCTTGCTGCGGGCCACTGGACTTGCTACGGAGGTGGACTGGGTGTGTCGCCATGTTCCTGTCCTTGGCCTCCCGTAAGTGGGGCTGGCGCCAGCGGGCCTGCGGCGCGGGCGGGAGTCCCCCACAGGAAGGCCCCGGAGCAGTGCGGGTTGGGGGCTGTGAGTCGGCGGGGAAACTGCTGCTGCGCGCTCGCCGGGCCGCAGGACTACAGCGTCCGGCATGCTCCGCGGCGCGCCTGCCTGCGGGGCGGCTGGCCGTTGGGGGTTTGCGGTGCTAGTGGACAGTTCACTTGGGGCTCGACTCCACTCTCGGGTTCAGGCTGCAGGACTAGGGCTCGCCCCCCATAGGGAGCTATCAGCAGAATCACTGGGAACTCTAAAGATGAAACTGCGTCCCGGAGGGGCAGGGCCGCCCTGGAGCGCACGGCTGGGCTGCGAAAGGAGCGCTCAGCCTCCCAAGACTGCTCTTCCCTGCCCCAGGCTACGTCTCGCTGAGATTTAGCTTCCCTCCTCTATCTGACGTGCTGGTCATTCAGTTGGCATAGATTAACTTGCCCAGCTTGTAGTTATTGGCCCCCTAAAAGAGGTGGAGCAGAACTGACCTTAGAACGATGTAAAAAGTAGCCAGTCCAACTGAAATGAGATCACAGCATCATCTTTACGTCCAGAATTTTATTGGTCTGATCAACACAGCTGATCTTTCCATCTTCCTCTAAAATCCTAATCATATGCCTGATAGCTGGGGAATAGTTACTTGGGTTATAATACATGGCTTACTTTATGACAAGTATTTTTATTACTGACACTTATGTGAATTTTGTATAAGAAAGATAACACATTGCTGTTTTTCTTTTCTCATCCAACCTTCCCTCTCTACAAAAAAGTTGCCAAGAGCAAGTCAAAGTAAGTAAAGGTTCTTTTTTGTAAACTTTGTGTTAGATTTTGTTAGTTAAGCTACTGTCATTACATCCTTCTCTCAAACTTAACATTTGGCCTGGATTTTCTTAAAGCTGATTTAAAGATGACTTGAGTTCTTTTGGCCCCATTAAGACTTAAAAACAAACAAACAAACAAACAAACAAAAAACCAACAAACCAGGGAGTATAACTCAGTAGTAGATCATTTGACTGCAAAAAATGCATTTCCTTCTGCTATCTTGTTCCTGGACAATCATCAGGGTTTCTATGCTCTCTGGCTTGCCACTGTGTGTTTCTTCAAATTGAGGATCAAGGCCTACATATTTGGAACCCATATAGTGATCTACTAGAACAAACTGATTTGATTAAACAACTGAGCTGGTGGTGGTCTTTCATTCACGGTGTAAGCATTTCAGACATAATAAAGATTAAAGATTTCATGCTGTACCAAGTGAGACAATAAATGCCAAACTGGTATCGCAAAGTTATTTTGTAAACATCAGCTGAAGTAAGATTTTCTTAAAAATAAGGATCCCAAGCAGTCTTTGCTTATAACCTAAGCCGTCACAAATCCTTCAGACTAAGTTTTATGGGTTAAACTTAATGAAAAATGTGTTTGTGTTTTGCCTCCCAATATCAGATCAATTCATGTAGTTTTCCCTATAATCCATTTATGTTAGAACCTTCCACCACCAAGTTGTGTAGAGGTCTCCCTCTGGTTTCTTTGGAGGTATTCCCTGCTTCTCATGGGCTTTGTAGTCCCCTTCTGACATTTTCTCATATGTCCTGCCTTGAATACTTTGTGGACATGACTGTGCCTTAAGAGTACAGATGCAGCATGGAAGAGCCTTGCATTTTCCATAGGAATTTCTGCAGAGTAAACCCTTATGGCCAGTAACCTGTTTAAACCAACAAATAAATGTTATATGTCTCCCACATATGAGGCATGGTGCTGAATATTGAAAGGGGTGCAAAGACATGTAATGTCGCAGATGCCTCATTCATTTTGGAAACAGATGAAAACTAAAATTGCATTTACCTAGGGAGAGAGGACACGTGAAAAAGTAATAAACAGTAGAAGGTATTAAAGGTTCAGTGAGGCAAAACATGAACTTTATGCTTTAGCTGACTCTTAACTTCATTGAAGTCTGAAGGGGAACAAGGTTTTTGCAAGTTAACAGTGTAAAAGTTTCAGTCTCTTAATGTTGCTCCTTCCTGGTGTCATGGCTCATCTCTGGAAGATAGGGCCCTCTGAGACGGCCATCTTCACGGCTTCTTGGTTGGACAGTACTTTCGGAGTTATCCCCCTCCTGACTCTCTTTCTGAGAGGTGACTGCCTGAGGCCACTCCCACTGAGTGGGTAGTTAACTGCTTTGGTTAGGCCATTACTAAGCATTTTCTGTAATGGAACACACATTGTACATCAAAAGTGATTTTCAAATTGTGGTCTGTGGAAAGCATAGACTGTCCTAGAACTGAGGCTTCCTAGGGCCAAATGAGGTCCATGACTATCACTACTATATAGGGTTCTCAAAACATCCTCTTCCCCAAGGCTGATATCAGTCTGTTTACTCCGCTTGTTAACAGCTTGCTTTTTATTTAATCTTAGAGTCATTCTGGTGAAAATGATGAGTGAAGCTGGGACAGGTTTCTCCTTCAACACGAAGAGAAACCGACTACGGGAGAAACTAACTCTATTGCATTATGACCCAATTGGTAAGCTTCAGAGACTGCCTTTTAAGAAATCCAAATGCTCTCAATGTTGCCCTTTGCAGACCTGTGCTAAACATCTCTGGCAGTTGTGTGGCCCTTTTGACACTGTAGCATTCGTTTGGCAAGTATGTATTGAATGCATTGGCACCACTGACTATCCTAGGTGCTAGGCTGTACTAGGACACGGGACAGGCTATTTCTGCACTCTTGGTGTTTACAGTCTGATTTGGAAGTGGGAGGGAAGAATAAGGCCAAATTATGCTAACTGCTTTGAGAGAAATAAGCAGGGTGTTTGGATAAAGTTGGAGGAGGTGGGCCCCCCCCCCTTTATCCTGTCCTCTACCTAGGATAGGTCAGAGAAAGTCTCTCTAGGAGGAGATAGTTAACTAAAGAAATGAGCCTTGTGAAAGAATAGGCCATATTGTATTAGAAGCAGAAAGGGAATAGTGTTATGAGTAAACAGTCTCCTGGAATCACTTGTCCAATGATGGCAGGTAATTAGGTCTAACTTTGAATAAAAGGAGTATGGTATCTATATATTAGTACAGAACAGTAGGAAATTTCAGTTTCCTTTGTACCATCTGCTAACATGCCATCATTTTAGCCTCAGTAGAATAGTTTTTGTTCAAGAGAATAAAGTGTTCCCAAGACCAGATTATTTGGCAATCTGGTGCTCTTATTCGTGAGCAGTGGTGGAACCTATGTTTTTGATTGTGTGGGCAGATTTAGGTAAAATAAGCTAGCCAGCAAATTATTTCAAAACCCTAGGCCATTTCATTTTTGTGTTGTTGCTTTTAAGCAGCCCCTTTCTAATTGCTTCTTAATAAGGATTATAAGCTTATAGGTTGGCGAACGTATGGAGATCCAGGGAACGTGGAGTGCTCAGAGAGGGTGGAGACGCCCTGAGCCTCTTTTTTTTATATGAGCCCCTTTTTATACCTTGCCTTGTGTATCACCATCTGTCCAGTTCTGAGTTTCTCATTACCTCCAGGTAGATGAGTGTCAGAACTGAGTTTTGAGACGGTTAGAATTGAGACTGATACCAGAATCTTGCTCCCTAAAATTATTCCATGATAGATGAAAGACAGGTACTTAACCTCATGATCAATTATTAAGAACAAGAAAAGTCTGGCTTTTGGCAAGGTGGAGTAATAGAGACCCAGTTTACCTTCACAATTTAGATGTTAACAAAGGGATGATATAGACACCAAAAAGTTTTGATCCCTTAAAGAAAACAAACTAGTGCTTGTCCATAACCAGACTGAATCGAGAATTCTGCCTTTGCTTACCTACACAAGTGCTCATGCCCCTGAGACGCCATGAATTGAATTGATGGTAACGAAAGCGCCTCTATTCTGCAGGCAGAGGAGGGGTCGATGCCAAGGGTCTTAGTTGAGTACACACAGCTCAACTGTGTGACAAGACAGACTGGTACTGAGGACTGTGGCACCCAAAGCCTGGGCCCTAAACCACTCAGTGTGGACCTGTATTGAGATATTTCACAGGTAACCCCTACTCACAGTACTTTAGACGTGATTGGGCCTTACTGTGAACCCTGGGTGACAGTCCTTCGGAGTTTGTACAGAGGCTCTCAGTCACCGTTCATTATGTTGTATGCATCAATATATAATGAAAGAAGTCACCATTAAAAATGTAAGGAGCCATTTAAAAAGACTCCAAGAAGTGTAGTTGTCATCTTAAAATTGCTGATGTACTTTCTTTAACAGAAGGAAAAGTTCCTTATTTTTATGTTTTTCAAACTGAATCAAAATAAAGACAACTCTGGGATTGTACCTGTGGTTAGAGCCTGAATTTCGGGCTGATAGTTTCTGCAGTTGAAACATTAGTGTGATAAGGTGTGTGTCTTAGTCCATTTAGTTCACTATAACAAAAAACCCTGGATCGGGTGACTTAAACACAACAAGTTTCTTCATCCCGGAGCTGAAGGAAATACTAAGTTCAAGGAACCAGCATGGTGCTTCGTGATGAAGGCTTTCTGCTTCAGTCCTCGCATGGCAGAAGGGCAAGCAAGTACGGGGCCTGTTTTATTTTACTTGTTGCAGAAGATGGACAAGATTGTTACAAATGGCTACCACGGCTAGTCATTTATGGGCTAATTTTATAAGAGCACTAGCCCACTGATGAAGTTTGCACTCTTATGACCGAGCACTTCCCAAAGATTCAGCCTCCAGTACCAACATCTCTGGGACTTAGGACTTCAGCATATGAATTTGTGGGACCCAGCAGTTACGTTGGTTTGGCGTGGTTACCCTTCTCTGATCTCCTGGTGCCAGCTTTGAACTATAAGAAAGTAGGGTGTATTTTTAGCATTTTGACTCCTTTCAGATTTTAGGAGCTTGTCCAAAATTAATATTGATTGAATAACCACCTATGGCATAAAAATGTGTCGGGCTTTTGTCCTTAGTATGGACGGAAGTGTTAGGGGTTAGGAACTTATCATACTGGTTTTTAAGCCTTGAGATTGGGAAAGGATACAAACATGAATAGTCTGACCATAGGTTCAAAGTGGGAGAAAAAAATTCATAGATTAATTTTAAACAGAAGATTAGAACTCTTCTGATAAGGAATGGGCTGAGCCTTGACACAGTACAGCTTTGTAGTTTCTGAAGAATAGGATGTTCCTGGACAGGAGACTGCCTGGCTTTCTGCCCACCTACCAAGTGCCCTGTAGACTTTGGGTTGTTTGCCTTGGGGCCTGCCCCATTGCTCAGGGCACTGAAATAGCAATGGCCTCTCTCCCTGTAATGAGTAAATAAATGGTTAGTTAAAGGGTAATGTTTTATCAGTCTGTTTTATTAAGGGTGTTGGGTAAGGGAACAGAAAGACTGCCTATTCTTGGAACATTTCGTAACATACTCTGGTAGAACTAGTTCTGTCTTTTTAAACCCCTTTCCTCTATCAAAAAGATGCAGATTTGCAGGGAGGAAGGATTAAAGGCTGAGGCATAAGCTTATTAAACTTTCTTAATCATATAAAGGTTTATCATTAAGAAAATGAAAACTGGTCAGTTTTAATTCCTTGGATGACTAAACAAGACAATAAAGACTATAATGACTATAATTGAAGCAGAATAGACTTAGGTTAGAACTTCAGGAAAGAACTCGATAGATTAATTCTTCTGTGAATTAAACTGCAGTGTTTTGACAGAAAATTTGTGACTGTGGCTAGCACTGAGTCTTCCCAGCTCCACACAGAGTACTTGCTGTGGAGCTGGCAGGACCTCCCTGAGGGAGCTGGAGTTCCCCTCACAGGGAAGAGACTGAAGGAAGACTGTTTTCATGAATGAAGAATTTTCATGCATAAAGCCTTGTCTTTGTTAGTCACACCTGTCCAGGGACATTTAGCTGGTCTCCTGACTGGTCATAAGGGAAGACAAAATTTGTTTTCAAAACCCATTTCTTAATTCTAATTTTCTGATGTATTGATAGGAAACTCTGGGGGGAGTATTTTTTGCAATGAGTATTTTCTGATGGGAAACTATTTTGGATCTTTACTATCCTTTTACAGTGCTTTATAGTCTCCTTGGACTCTGAAGGCATTTCGGTGGCTATATTTAACATTAGGTGAAGGTTAAACTATCTCTCCATAGAATGTGACATGTATTATTTCACAGTGGTCGAAATGTGACCTTGGGGGGGCTATCGAGGATGCCACATTGGCCAGTGGACCTTCTCTTGTTTGCCTTACTATTTTCTCCAGTCTTCTCTGGTCACTGAGATTAAGAATGGAGTTTGCAAGTCATCTCCATCCTCATGTCAAAGGACTAGTAAAATAAGAGAAAGGAGGTGGCTCATGGTTTGCTAAATATTTTCATTAAAATATGGTGATACTTGATGGGAAACCCAAGGGGATTGCAACTGAGATGGAAAAAAATGCATAAAAATATGTAAAAATAAATACTATAAAATTAAAGAAAATATGGTGATACTTTTTAATCTTGTGCTACAATCTTTCCCCCCCCCACAGTGAAAAAAAGAGTCCTCTTTGTGGAACAGAAAAAAATACGCTCCCTCTAAACAATGGATTGCAAATGAATTTGATTTATAAATGAGAAGAGTGAGGGCGGGACACTGATTCAGAAATTCTGCGGTGTGTAATAAAAGAGGAGGAAATGGCAAGGAATCACTGCCTCCTGTGATTTTGAAGGCCATTGTGAAGGAAAACAATGCGGTGAAAGAAAGTTCTTCATATTAGGACATATATCATTGCATCACATTTATTTATCTTTCTGGATATTTTTATAGCCCTTAATAAAAAATACTAAAATAGCCTGTACTATTGTCTCTTAGTGATGTTTTCCCTACTATTTGAAATGAAAACAACTACATTACTAAAAAATAGCCATTGTTCCATGTAATAGGAGAAATTTTTCCATGAGGCTTGTGCAAGAGTTTCCAGCAGGCTCCTTCTACTTTGTAGAAACGGCAGAATTCTACTCCAGAGTGATGTTAGAAAAGTTTTCGTGACAAAAGATGGCAAGGGTGAAGAGGAATGATTAGAAGAGCCAGCTTTTCAATGCAAAGAGACTATGAAGACATCTATTTTTGATTTGTACGTTATATAGTCGGGCAAAATGCCATTGGTCTGTATTCTCCAGCTCTGCTCACCAGAGCAATGTCTGAATTTTCTAAGGTGACTTTGGACTCCTTAATCACTTAGGTTTTGTTTTTGTTATTTTTAAATGACCCTTAGTGTATTTTGGGTGTGTGTGTGTGTGTGTGTGTGTGATGATAACGCACAGCTAACCAACTTGGAAATCTCACTGATAAAATCCTCAGTGTTCAGGTAGGGACACCTGCCCACCCTGTCTTTACACTTTTTTAAAAATTAAAATCTGTTTCTCACAGATTTCAAAGTTGTCCAGTTCTCTCACCAAATTTCTGGCTGCAGATAGAAAGGACCAGCTTATATTTTGAGCACAGATGCTTCATGTTTCATTCCACTTAAACCACTTACATGGGCCAGTGATGGGGTGCCCCCTGGCCCCCCAGAAAGAAACCAGGACTGTCTAGAAGAGTAGGTCTCCCCTCCCCACAGTGTGGTCTCTGCCTGGAGGACATGGACTCAGATGTAGGAAACTGTTGACTCTTACAGGCTTGTGGCATTATAGTTATTTTGTGGCATCATGTGTTAAAGCTCTGGTTCAAAGCAGTAATAGGTGAGATTTAGGCTATTTTTAGGTTGAAACTATACAAATGGTCTTTAGTTATACGAAAAACCCACTGCCTTATCCTACGTAAGACCAGTGTAAAGAGTCTGACGTGCATGAATCACCTTTAAAAATTTTTTTTAATCTGGCTTAGTAAGTGATTTGTCTACTCAGCACATGAGTTGAATGGAGCCCACAGGTGGTGTTTACATTTTAGATAGTCAGTTGCTGATAATTTTTAAAAAGACTTCAGTAAACATCCAAACTTCAGGCTCTTTTTGCCAAACCAGAAGCTTTGATGATAATAAAGCTGAATGTCATCTCAGAATTGCCTGAGTGATCCAATACAAATGCCCCCCTCTTCTTTAACATTCACTGAGTAGACACTTCAACCCTTGCAGTAAGGTGTATGGGCAGCATTCACAGCCTGCTGGCGTACAGTTCACTGGTTTCTGAACTAGTAATGTTTGTACCGGTCTTGAATCCTTCATTCTGGTTGCATGAAAAGCAAAGAAATCAAAGAAATGAAAGCCTGAGGATCACCTAGTCAATAATCCTTGCAAAGAAAGGAGAGAGGAACATTTTATTGTCAGCTGCTAGTTCAGAGTGAATGCCTAAAAGAACATTTTATTTCCAAGTATTTATTTTTTGAAGTTACCAGCGATCAAAACAGATTAAGCGGCAGGTCTTTCTTGTATGGGTAAGATGACTGTGTTCCTGCAGCCTGGACGCTGGCTGCTGCGATGAAATTGGATCTCTTGAGCATTTCTTCCAGCGACAGATTGGGGAAGTAAGCCAGGTAAAAGGCCAAAGCTCCCACAAAGCTGTCACCAGCACCCTGTAATTAAAAGTAAGATGTGGAGATAAGCCTGCAGTCATCTGTTGCCTAGACAGTATTGTAAAAATGTGTAAACACACTTTTGAGATTAGTTTCAAATGTACAGGAAAGACACAGGGATAGCACAGAGCATCTCTATATATGCTACACCCAGTTCTCTGAGCACAGTACTCTCACAACGAAATCACAGCAATCATTATTAACCTTCCTCCATACATGACAGTGTGTGGTTAATGGCATTTTTCTAGACGGGTTCCAGGATCAACCTGAAGGTGGTAGGTTCTTAGTCATTTTTTGTTTGTCACCTTGGTAGTCTTGAGGACTGGTCAAGTAATTTTTAGAATGTATCTCAGTTGGGTGTCTCTTTTCCCTCATGGTTAGACTAGTTAAATGGTTTTGGGGAGAAGACATGGGACATGGAGGGGAATTGTCATTCTTGTTACATCACGGACACCACATTATCATGGCGATTTATTACTGTGATTTTAGTCCTAATCACTTGGCTGAGGTCTTTGCCAGCTTCTCTTATGTAAAGTCACTCTGCTCCCTCTTTCATACTATACTCTTGGAAGCAAGTCGCAAGCAAGATCCAAACTTAACAGTGTGGGGAGTTATGGTCTACCTCCTGAGGGTGGACTTGTAAATCACCCGGGGTTATTCTCAGGGACATTTGACTCTTCTCCTTCATTTATACAATCACCGAATGGTATGAGATAACAGTTTTCTTTCCATCTTCTCTTAAGCTCCAAACGTCCAAATTGGTGAAGATCATACAGGGCTCCATGAAACTGAAAACAAAGTCTGTTGACTCTGCCTTCAGGCAGGGCAGTACTTAGTCGTGCATCCATCTAACAAATGTACTTAACATAATTTAAGTGAGATTGCAGTGCCACTTGAACAATTCTGATACACTAAACAACTTTGAGGGTCATTTCTCAGTTTTCCCCAGTTCGCTGGTTTCTTAGACCCAAGAGTTCTCCCCCACACATCTTGAGGCTACAGCTGATCCTTTACAGAGAGCCTTGGTGTACCAGATTGTTTCAGTTGCAGTCAAGTATTTAATGAATTATGTGGCCAGGACAGTGATAAGCTCTACAAAAGGAGTAAAATCCACTGCAATTTAAGTGTAAAATAATGATTTATAAATGCTGCTGGATTTTAAGACTTGAAGAAAGCTTCCTTCAAGAACGGAGGCCTGGGCCCTCCCTGGTGGCATAGTAAGTTAAAGTGCAGCACTATGAAGCTAGCCACAGATGCTTCAGCACGAGTTCCATCCCTGGCCAGGGGGCTGACCCACACGGCACAGCAGACTTCTCCTGACCGGCCAACTGCTCCCCTCAGCAGTGTACTTTATCAGTCTGCCTGTTCTGCTCCCCACTCTGGTGTATCCTCTCACTGCCCCTGAACATCTGGCCTTTACCCCAATTCTGTATGCATAAATAAATTTTTAAAAAGGTAGTCCTTGCAGAATGAGAAGGAGGACCTCAAACAAAGACTTCAGAGGAAGAAGGAACAGTGAGTTCACGAAACAGTCAATGGCTTAAGGAGTGCTAGTTCTCCCGTTTACCCCAACAGAGCCGTCAACAGCACAATTGTCACACAGCAATGCAGGTGCAAACGCAACACTTTCCTTCCTCCCGTTTTCCAGAGTTCCTTAAACATGCCTGCACCATGGCAGGCCTCTGCCATCGCCTCCTCTGGAGGAAATGATGGGGAAGACAGCCTGTGCCCTGCTTTCCCTCAATGTGTGGCACAGCAGTGTGACACAGGTCTGAAGCAGGAATTACGAGCTGGGTGACGTGCACATTATGAAAACACGGAATGTGTCACAAGGTAGGAAGTTATGGCAACCTCCAAGATTCTAAGTCTTTAACTCTTCCTTACAAATTTAAATTCCTGGTAGATTAAAGGTTTGAATGCAAGAAATAAAACAATAACATCATAATATGAAAATTTATACGAAGATTTGTGTAATCAATCCCAAGCAAGAAAACTATGCCAAGTATCTAACCCAAGGGCCACAGCGAGAAAATACAGGTTTTAATTTTATAAAAACATTTAAAAGTTATATCCAAAGACAGTGTGAGTAAAGTCAAATGACGAAGGACAGATTTGGTGAAAACTCATACATATGGCATATCTCTAATACTCAACAGATAGCTTCAAATTGCTTGGGAAAAGACATCCAGGATAAAAATGGGCAAATACAGAAATGTAATTTCAGAAAAGGAAATTACAAGGAATTAGTCAATGAGCAAACATGGAAAGATGCTCGATTACTAGGCAAGAAAATGCAATTAAAATAACTTTAACTATCGAATTGATAAAATAGTAAAGCTGTTGGTAAGAGCAGTGCAACTGAGGGGAGAGGCTGAAGTCACTCTTGAATATTGTTAGAGGAGTGAAGGAGTGACGTGCTCTCTGGCAAGGTGAGAAACATGTATGTCCTTTGATTTAGCGATCCAGCTTCTGGAAACTGCCCACTGCAGCTCCTTCAGACATATGCAAAGATGTTTGTTGCTGCAGTTTCCAAAGGCAAAGTGCTAGAAATCCTGTGACTACCTAGTCAATAGACTGGGCTAAGAAATCTTGACACACTTTCTTATAACGGAAAAGCACGCGGTTATTAGTAAAAAAAAAAAAAAAAAAAAAGGTTAGCAAAATATGTGCATACAATTAGTTAAGCCAAAAACTACCTCCCAACATTATGACCCCATACAAGTGTGTGTGTGGGGGAGGGATGGGAGATATGAATGGAAGCACAGGGAATTCTTTCCAGCTTCACACAGAAAGCAGTTTTGCACCCTCTTGTTGGCTAGGAGTGTTTTGGCTATAGACTAGATAAGCTCTTTAGAAGGTTAAAAGTGGTTGCGTCAATGTATGAAAAAACTACTTGAAATCACCTAAACTGCTTCCTCACCAGCCAACTCTGAGAAACAATGCCAGGAAGAGCTGTGTGTGTTAGAGTAACTATTTAGTCAATGGTGATTTTCACAACTTGATTCCCTCACACTATTGGTAGAGTCAGAATAAGTCCTTCTGGTATTAAAAAGAGGCAGTTTCCCTGTAATGAAAACTCCAGTGGAATGTTATAGCAAATGATAAGAATTACTAATTCTAAACAAATTCTTTCAGAAAATAGAAGTGCCAAGAAAGTGCTTTCCAAATTATTTTATAAAGACAGCATTACTGCAACAATAAAATCAGACAATGACACTATAAGGGAAAAAACAAAACAAAATGAGATTATTACCCTTAAGAATGTAGAAAAAAACTTTAAAAAAATTTAATAAATAGGGCTTATTCCAGGAATGAAAGATCAGTTTAACATTTTTGAAAAATCAATGTCATTCACGATGTTAAAATCCTTGCGATAATTTCAATAGAAGTAGAGAAAGTGGGCCCTCCCTGGTGGCACAACAGGTTAGATAGGACGCAGCACTGCAAGTTGGCTGCAGCCGCTCAGTGCAAGTTGGATCCCCGCTCCAGAGGTGACCCACAGGGCGCGGCAGACCTCTCCTGACCAGCCTGCTGCTTCCCTCAGCGGTGTACTTCAAAGATCTGCCTGTTCTGCTCCCCACTCTGTCTCTGGTGAATCCCCTCGCCCCTTGTACCTCTGGCTTGCACCCCAATTCTGTATGAATAAAATAAATCTTAAAAAAATAGAGAAAGCATTTGAAAAAATTATATATCATCATAAAAAATCAGAAAATTTGGAAGATATAAGTTGATTTTCTTGATAAAGAGCACTTATGAGACATCTACAGTTATTATACTCAGTGAGAAAGAATGCTTCTCCCCATATTTTGAGAACAAATTAAAGATGTCTGTTTTCTATTTACTATCATACTGCCTACCTGGTGCAGTAATTAAGGAGAAAAGAAGAAAGGCATACAGAGTTGAAAGAAATAAAATAAGCCCTTTTCTTTGCATATGTATAATCTCCTATGTAGCAAATCCAGCAAAAAACTTATTGGAAATAGCAAGGTAACAGGATTACCAGTTCAATATTCTAAAAAAAAAAAATTATAAAGTATTTTGAGTTAAATTAACTTACCATGAACTCAGTATGGTAAGAGAGAAGTTTAATAAGCTACTATAAACATGAACTGGAAACTCAATGTTGTTAAAGATATCAGTTCTCCCTAAACTGATCTGTAGATTCAATGCAATTCCAATAAAAATTGCAGCTGGCAATTTTTAGAAGTTGGCAAACTGATTCTAAAATATATTTGGAAATTCAAAGGACCTAAAATAGACAAAACAAGTTTGAAAAAGAACAAAATTGAAGATGTAAATTATCTGATTTCAAGACTTACCATAAGTTACAGTAATCAAACAGTGGGATATTGAGGTAAAATTAGACATGTAGATCACTTGAACAGAGAAAAAAATCTAGAAATAGATCCACACATATAAGGCCAATTTATTTTTAATAAGGTAAGTCAATGGAAAAAGTGACAGTTTTTGCAATGACTGGTACTGGAGTGAGGGGTTATCCACACACAAAACATGACCTGGCCGCTACTCTCCACAGGGGACACAGACCTAACTAAGTGTGTCAACAAGATAGCTAGAAGAAAACAGACAGGAGAATCTTTATAACTTTGTGTCAAGCATGAAACATTTTTAAAAAATCAGGTAAACTGGAGTTGGTTAAAATAAAATACTTCTTAGCTTCTATAGAATACCAACAGACAAGTCACTGACTGAGAGAAAAATATTTGGAAGATATATCTGAGAAAGGACACTTATAATTCAATAATACAACCCAATAAGAAACAACTTACTAAAAATAGGTGAAGTACCTGAACAGAGACTTCACTAAAGAAGCTTTACAGAGAGCAAACAAGTTTACAGTAAGATGCTTCAAAGATAACTAATGTCTTCACACACGAAGGAAATGTATCCTTCAAAATGAGATAATGCAACACCACACACTCATTAGAAAAACTAAAGTTAACAAGTCTGAAAACACTAACTTTTGGAGTAGCTGTAGA